AGTCTTTGTCTTTTTGAGGCACTTGTATAGAGTGAAATCACGAGGTTAGATGGGTCCAGGGCAGGGGAAAAATGGGAATCTGAAAGTTAAGCATAAGGCGAAGTGGAAATGTGGTCAACCAATAAGGTTAATTGCTCAAGTAAAATTGATTAAATTGGGAGCAAATGGGAGAGCAAGTCGTAGTAAGTGGGCATGTTTAAGAGCAGAGACTCTTCTTGTAGAGGGTTGGGATGGTGACTCTTGAGTTCCTCAGGGTGATCAGAGAACTGTTTGGACTGTTGGTCCTCAGCACTTCGTTGTATTTAATATACCTTTTGTTTTAAGATTTGGCCCACAGCAGGAAGTGATTGTCTCTTCCAATCCTGCAAGCAATGTGAACTTATTTTCTGGCTCCTTTGAGGGGCCAGCTCTGTTGTTATAGGCAGCTGAGTTAGTTAGAAATATATAGCCAGGGAGGCAGGATCAGGTCCTAGATGTAGCCAGCTCAGAAGCCCACATATCTTGCAGCTATGGGGGAGACAGATACCTCCTGTTATGGGACAGGCCTCAAGAGAAAATACCAAGCAAATGCATCCATATCATAAGAATTGATTTTCTAAATAGTTCCCTGTCACCCTACTGAAGTCAGGAGTCACCCTCCCAGTCCCATAGAGGAGAGTTACTGCTCTGTAAAATGCCTGCTTTCTATGACCTCACTTCCCCATTTGTCTGCAGTGTAAATGATTTTACCAGAACTATTAATTATATTGGCTAAATATACCTCTGTCCAAAGTTTTGACCACCTGCCTTGTGAGTTGCCAATTTTCCTCACCTTAAACCCATCTCACCCCATGATTTTATTCTATAAAGTTCCTAGAAGATACAGACAACCCACTTATGACCCCTCCTGTTCTCTCAGACAGGAGCTTTCTGATAGTGTTTTCACTGTGGTAAAGGAGAGAATATAAATTAAAAATGGCCTTTATTCTAAGAAAGTGGAGAGTACAGCATGATCACTAGACATCTGCCTTTTTCTGCTGGATACATGGTGAGGGGGATTATATCTACTTTTTGACTTCGGTGGTGCATAAAGGTGGCATTGCTGATGTGCCAGTAGCTGATTGGGCCTCTTTTCATGCCACAGGTAAGTTGCCTAAGGGAGGGGTAAGTGACTTCAGGGTAAATGTCCCCTGGCCTGCTTCCCACTGCTGTAATATCCTATCTAGAGCAAAAATCTTTCAATTTTTTCTCTCAATAGTTTATTCTGCTCTTCACCTCCATTGTTCCTAAAATTCATTCTTCTATTTTATAGAACACAAACTCCTACCAGGCACAGAAGGTCAGGAGATTCATTCCATTATATCACTATCTGACTGCCTATATTTCTAAATAGCACAGATGCCTGTAACATTAAGAATTATTTATTTATTTCACTTAGCATAATTGTAGCAAATAAAATGTACTTAATTGATGTAGTGAAATATCCAATAAAATTGAAAAAAATATTATCACAGTTTCTCTATCTATCATCACCAATCATTTTCATCTTTCAACTATGTGGGGAAAAAATAAAAGCAGCTCTCAGCAAATAGCAATGGTATAGTGCCCAGTTTATTACTCATTGTAGTTACCATGTTATTTTAGGTACTTCATAGATGGCAACAGAAACATTGAGCTTTTTAATGAACAACTATCAATTTCAATAGTTGTACTTATAGCCCTACATGGTTGAAAACTGTAGATTTTTCTTTGGTACCAGGCATTGAACTCCTGACCTTGTGCTTGCCAGGCAGGTGCTTTGACCACTTAGCTCTATAACCAGCCCAACATCTTTAGATTCTAAATATGACTAATAACATTGTTTAATTTGCCATTGACATATTTAATTAAAAATCTTGTTAACCTACATCTTCACAAGTAAAATTATTTTCTTTCTTTGCAGTTTAAAACACTTTTTTTTAGGTACCAGGGGTGAAACACACAACCTAGCACTTCCAAGGCGGGCAATTCTGCCTGCTGAGCTAAATTCCAGGCTCCCATTAAATAATATTTTATTAAATATATAAATATTACTTTATCCATTCAAATAGTATTGTTATTTTACTAGAGGAGACCAAAGTAGAGAGGAATTGATATACAGTCAGAGAGGAAATGGAACCTCAAAGAAGTCAGTGTAAAAACTAAACACAATAATCCCTGCTAGAGGCAAAACTGAAGAAAGCCAGAAAGGGAAGATGTAGTGACCATGTCTACATGCCTCCTGAAGAGAAAAACAATAGCTTGAAATTTACTACAGTTACCACCACCTCCTCCAGGAAGTCCAGAGAGGCATCAATTACCATACTCAATGACCAGAACAGCTGGACTATTGTTCCCAGAAAATCCCTTGGCATTTTTAACATGCTTTTTCTGGGTGACTTCTTCCAAGTTTGAATAATATTAGTTAAGCCACTACAAGCTTATAGGTTGATTGTAGTTTGAGACCCACACTGTACCCAGATTGTGAGTTTCCTGTATAAATGACCCCTGACAATATGTCTGTGATTTAGACACTGAAGAACATTCCTGAAAATCCAGGACTATCCTCCTCTCTTTTTTCTGAGAAAACTTTTTGAACATCTTTTGTTTTGTGCCTTCAGTCCTCAGTGTTGTGAGCCAACCAACTTGGTGCATTTGACATCAAACAGGGCAGGATTATATTTGTCCTATTTCAATTTGAATATGAAATATCTGCTAAAGGCCATGTTCCAAAGTCTTTGTGTGAAGCTACTTGCTCACTCTGAGTTTAAGATTTCCATGAGCTTTTGGACCTCTTCATTCTAGCAAATTGCAGATTTGTTGGTCGAAGGTGGTCACTGTTGTGCTGTAGCACTATAGGCACCATTTCGAACTCTTTATTTTTCACTGCTGCCCAGATGCTACTACATGGCCAGCTTTCCAAAGTAACATCATTCCATAATTGCCAATTTATGTCAGCTTTCATTCAGCTCTATTGTTTTTGTTTTTATTTAATAGTCTCTCTCTCTCTCTTGGTTTTCTACATTTTTCATTATTATTTTTTGTTTTTAAAGACATAGTCTTACTTTGTAGTTCTGGCTGGCCTTTCACTCTCACTGTGTAGGTTAGATTGTCCTTGAATACATGGCCATTCTCCTGTTTCAGCCTCTTTAATGCTGTGGAAAAGAGGTGGGCATTATAACACATGGTGTTTCTCATTTTCTTCCCTCTTTTCACTATTATTCTTTCATTTCAGGGGCACTGACATTTAATCCAGATGCTTGCTTGTGTCAGTAAATCTTTCTGCATCTTGAGGTGAGTTTGTGAACAACAGTATAGGAACTCAATCATCCAAAGGATAAATTTGGGATTTAAGTAGCTGAGATCAGAACACACAACTTGTATACAGACCCCTTCCCCATTTCAGAATCAAAACAAGTGGCCCTGAACTGGATTGTTAAGCATTTTTAAAAGAGAGAATCACAAAAGACATCCTGCTTTGAAACAATTTAGCTAGAATCTTAAATGAATTTTTATTTGACACCTGTATCCTGCTTCTTTTTTTAGGAGGTTACTTTTTTTCTTTGGATACAGCTCCTTTTGTTTTTCTCATGGAACTTATACCCTGAGTGCTTTTTTAATTTTCCTGGGTCAAATACAGGGCACTAGATAAATGCAGGGTGCAGGATGGCATCTGTTATACCAAGCTACAATACAGCTGAGCTACAGTGCCAAGCCTTACTATTTTCTAGAGTAAAAAGCACATAATGTTTGAATATGTCATAACTTGTGATGTTAATCCTTATAATAAAATGTGATCTACAGTCAGGACAAGCTAATCTCACTTGGTCACTCATTGTTTTCCACTGGTCTTTTCCTCATCATCCCTAAATACAAGACTCTCTGAGTTCTTAATACTAATACTCACATTTGATTCATATTCCTACCTGTGACATCTCCTGTTTCTGCAGTAGTCTAGACTGGCATCACCAGCCCATAAGAGATAGAAACTTATCTTGTGATTCCCTATATTCCAATGAGGTTATGTGTTAAATTGGACATATTTCCTTTAAGAGAATGGCAGTTAATGAATACATGAGTATCTCATGACTGTTTCTTCATGTTTCAAATAACAGCATTAATTCTTTCAAGCGTTCGGTGCACACCTGTAATCCCAGGACTTAAGAGGCTGAAGTAGGACAATCTGTTTGAATTTACAGGACTAAGAAGTGAGTCCACAGTCATCCTGAACTGCATAGGGAAATCCTGTCTCAAACAAACAGACAAAAATATCATATTATTGTGGATATCCTTGGGAAGAAGAACTCAACAGTTTGAAACTCTTAGAATCATACCTGTTAGGTTTCATCTGGTGAGTATAAGAGACCAGTAAAACTACCTTCAAGGATATAGAGAAAACTCAAAAAATCTTACTTCAAACTGTCATATAGATGTAATGCATTGCCAAAAAAAAAAAAATACCATTAAGATAGCTCACAAATGTAGAGAAAACATTTCTAAAATTCATTTGGAAACAGAAATGCTCTAGGTCACCAAAGACATTGCTGGGCAACAAAGGCAATTCAAGAAGCATCACAATTCCTGACTTGCTATAATACTAGAAAGTTACTATCAGAAAATCAGAATTGTTCTGGCAGAAAAACAGACCTGAGAATCATCCAAAAAGTCTAGAAAATGCAAATAGAACTACAAACACACTCTGCTACCTTGTCTTTGACAAAGGAGCCAAATATGTTCAGTGGAAGAGAGACAGCCTCCTCAATAAATGGTGCTGAAGAAAATGACTTTCCTCCTACTGAAGACTTAAACTGGAGAAATGTCTATCATTATGAAATAAATATGTTAAACTAGATCAAAGATCTAAATATTAAAACAGAAACACTAATGAGGCTTCCTGAACAAAAAACACATTTTAAAGAATCAACTACGGTGACCCCATCTTATTAAAAATTATTTGTACATCAAAAGAAATCACTAACAGAATGAAAAGACAATGCTCAGAATGGGCAGGGGATATTTTTCTATTTTCTGATAATCTTCAATATCATTTCCAAAGTACTATAATTTTCAATATGTAAGTACTTTACTTTCTTTGTTAGGTTCTTTCCAAGTATTTCATTTACTTGGAGGATATTTTAAATGGTGTGGTTTCTGTAACTTCTCTCTTGGTGAGTTTGTTGATTGTGTACAGGAATCTATTGATTTTTGATTGTCAACTTTGTCTCCAGCTACATTTTTGAATTTGCTTATTAATTCTAGGACTGTTTTGGTGGAGTTTTCAGCATCTTCTATTTAGAATATCATATCATCTTTGAATAATGATAATTTAACTATTTTCTATTATATACTTATTCTTATTTCTCTCTTATGTCTAATTGTTTTGTCTAGTGTTTCCAGAGCTATATTGAATAGGAGTGGTCATAGTAGTCTTCCATGTCCTTTTATAACTGTAGAATGAAAGTTTTCAGTTATTCTCCATTTAGTATGATGCGGGGTTTTCTTTGTCATTGTCTGAATTTTTTGTCATTTTCTTTTTTATTGGTACTGGTAATTGTACTCATGACGACACAATTGCAAGGCAGGTGCTTATGCCACTGAGCTAAATCCCCAGCCCCGTCATTATTTTATTTTATCAGCTTGAGGTAAAGGTCATCTGTTGTTATTTACTGTAGGGTTTTATCACAGTTCAGTGCTTGACTTTATCAAAAGCTTATTGTGCATTTATTGAGATGATCACCATGTGACTTTTGTTTTTGCCTGTGTTGATATGACATTTAAATTTGTTGATTCGCATGTACTGAAACATCCCTGCCTTCCTGGGATGAATCCAAGTTGGTCAGGTTTTAAAATCTTCTTTATTATTTGCTACATTCACTTTGCTAGTGTCTTGTTAAGGACTTTTGCTTCTATGTTCATTAGGAAAACTGTCCCATAGTTTTCTTCTTTTGGTTGGGTCTTCCTCTGGTGTTAGTATCGGGGTAATACTTGCCTCAAGGCATGAGTTAGGGAGAAGAGCTTCTCTTTCAATATCATTAAACAGCCGTGGCCTTAAATTTTTTTTCTACATTTATTGTAGAATCCAGCAGTAAATCCACCAGGACCTAGACTTTTTTTATGTTGATCATTTGCTTTTCTGTTGTCATTGTTTTTCTTATTTTTCAATGTGCTCATGAGACCAGCTCTCATTCAGTTCAAGTTGGCCTTGAGCTCACTTTGTAGCCTTGTTTAGTCTCAAACTCAAAACAATACTTGTACCTTAGCCTCCAAAGTTCTGTACCACCATGCCCAGCAGCTGATAAATTTTTATTAAATCTTCATTCTCATTAACTGATACTGTGTTTTTCAGAATTTTTATATCTTCTTGGAACAGAATTGGCATTTCATATTTATCTAGGTATCGGTGCATTTCTATATTTTCTAACCTATGAAAGTATACATTTTTCCAGTAGATTTTGATGATCTTCTGAATTTTCACAAGATCTGTAGTTATTTTATCCTTCTGATTCCTCAGTGCATGGTTTTTCAATCTTTATTTTTTTCTTTTTTGATATGATTGTCCAAGGGTTAATCAATTTTGTTTATTCTTCCAGTGAACCACCTGTTTGATTTGTTAATCCTTTGAATATTTTTCTTGTTCTGCATTGCATGACTTTCTTGTCTGGTCTTATAATTTCCTCCCTTGTATGGGATTTGTGTTTGTCTTGCCATTCTTCTTCTGGAAGATTGAGATGCAACACTTCATTATTTGTTTGTGTTCTTTCTATTTCCTGATGTGAGATTTGACTACTATAAATTTCCTTATTTGGACTGCTTTCATTGAATCCCATAAGGTACAGGATTTTGCATCTATATTCTTGTTAGGTTGTAGATATTTTTAAGTTTCTTCCTTTTTTCATCTGTTACCCATTGGGTGTTTAGGAGAGTGTTAAGTTTCATATACTTATGAAGTTGTTGCAACTTTTTTTTACCATTATTTCACAATTTAAATACATGCTTAAGAATACTATCCTTAGGCTGCAAAGTCAATCAAGTAATACAAGGATTAAGTTGTTTTTATACCTCCATTGCTATCAACTCAGCATGTCCTCTAAACCAGTCAGATGGTGGTGGGAGGAGGTGATTGTGGTGCTCCTCTCCCAGCCAATACAGTAGTTAGCTCACAGGAAGTGTAAGTTTCTTGCTTTTCTTCTGAGAAATGGAATAGCTTCCACAGAATCACAACATGGGCATGTTGGCTAGTTTTCCACCATTCCCCTTATGACTTCCACCAGCTCACAGGAAGGGAAAATTAGATTTCTGTTTCTCCTCTCTGGCCTGAGATGGCTCCAGAATGTTAATTTTCTCATCAGGATGACTGGGTGGAGACATATCATAAAACCTGCATATCTATGTGTGTGTCCTACAGAAAATAATTCAGATGTAGGTCATTGATTGGATTGGAAATGTCTTGAGGAAAGTTGTGTCATGTAAGAGGATTTGGCATTGGTGAACCAAAAAAAAATACAGTGCAAAAGAACAACTTCTATATACTTGAATTGTCTTAAACAGGTTTGATACTTGGTCCTGTCATCATCCAACAATACCAGATTTCAGTGCTGAGTCTTTAAAACAGATACATTTTATATTTCATGTTGGGGTCTTTTCTTAGGCACCAAGATGGCAATAAAGGGTCCCAAGAAGGCTCTAAGAAATGAGAAACACGACATGGTCTTCAGGGCTGCATGAGAAGAGTGATCCATGGCAGAGCTCATCACTCTGCTAGCCAGCTGGCCAACTCATGCTGGCAGGAGTTGAGTGGACAATGGAGGAAACCTGATAAGGATCTTGGTAGAGGTTCAAGACCCCTCAGAGAAACAGATGATGCCAACTGCAGAGAACTATCCCACAGAAAATATCTAGGTGGCCTCAGCTGTGGCCTGTCTTGTCCCAGGAGGCATCTCTTCATTCTCAGTTTAATCATGCCTGGGCCACATCACAGCCCTGCATGAGTATTCAGCTTCAATGGCTCTAACATATCCCTCCTTTTTGTTTGGTTAAACCTTAGCTGTTGGACATCTAGAAGAAAAGATTGATAACAATACAGTATATTAGAGGCAGTAAGCTTAACATTACTATTTTATCTAAACATGAAACACCTTAGAATGTTAAATGAAATGTATTTTCTACTATCCATGGATATTTTAACATTTGAATACCTACAGTGTTAACATTGATATATTTTACATAGGAAATCAGAAATCAGAACCATACATATTGTTGTATCATGACATCCTTGCAATAATCTGAATTTCTATTTTGACATAAAATATGTTTTAGTCAATCACCCTTATCTAATACCCAAGAAGTTTCTTATGTATTATTGACCAATTTATTGACCTTTAGTGGAATATGAATCTTACAAGTCTTTGTTATTAGCTGAAGTATAAACATGAATCAAAAGTCTGCTACCATAAGTAATCCCCATTTTACAATCTTAGAGGTCTATGCCTCCATAAACATAAATATATCTAATATATCATGAATTTGGTGACAATCAACTGTCATAACAATGTGAAAAGTTTACTCAGGCATCTTAAATCAAAAAATGCATTAATTCTTTTGATATTGACCAATGTGAACATTGAGGAGTACATTTCATGACTTTAGTTAAAGTGTCTCCTATAAGGCTATGGAGATCATTGAGGTCTCTGATGAATAAACAAGAACTGGTTAAAAACTTTACCAGGCAGCCACTTTCTGATTTATCAATTAGAGCCCTGTCCAGCAATCTCAGTCATAAGGGACTTTGTTTATTCATCCTAATAATATCAATTTTAAGTAATGAGACTATCAAGTCAATGGTAAATAACAACATATTTCATTCATATACCCAGTCTTTGTGACATTTGGAATAGCTGGCAACAAGGTACAAGCATATTTTATAAATCAGTAAAGAAACAAATCTTTGATTATGTGATCCAGATATGGAAAAAGAGAAAGATTACTGAGCTCCAAATGAAAGGAACAGTTGTTCACCGAGTGGACAAGTGGATAAACGTACACAGACAATCTGTGCTGATTCAAACAAACACAGAAATAAGCAAAGAGCTTGTGGAGGTTTTTGAGAACAACTTAAGTTCCTCAGAGGCCATTTGTGTACTTGTTCAATACTCCTTTGTTAAACTAGCTCATCTCTTATACCCAGTGCTCCCAGTGCTGGAACACCTGTACACCCCAAGCACTCGGGGTCCTTCCCAGAGGTTTTGGGCCACTTGATCACTCTTGTATGGGCATGTTTGCTTTCTGCTTTATAAGCTTGAACAATCATTAGCTCAGGGACTCCCAACAACAGCTTACAAACAGACTAAACAAATACACAACTGATACATGGACAGATGGACAAACATCTTATAAAATCAGAGTGTACTTGAGCATATCCTTAAGCCCAATAACAAAACCTTCCTACAAGGTTAGAGTCTACAACTATAAATCAACTAGTTCACCTTTTTATAGACCAACTAGCTGAGATCCTGTAAAAAGTATCCAAGGCTTGATTCAGGGAGAGGTGAAATGGTGGAACTATGTTGTGTAGCCTGTGGTGACAACTCATTCCATGCAGAGCAAACACAAAGAGCAGAATTCCATACAAGGCCTTGGCAATAACACAGAAATGTTCCCTCTTCCCCAGATCAGCAGGGGCACCAGCCCCTGCCCACTTGAGTCTGGAGATGTTCTGTATAATACAAAAGGCTTTGTCAGAGATATAGCCTGGTAAAAACATATTTGAATTAAGTAATAAGCCTTTTTGGGAAAGAGAAGTGACTTACAGTAAATAGCACCATGGACAGAATAGTAAGAACCTGTGCAGGAAGTGCATTATTCTCCTTTAATTGTTTCAAGAAGAGATTTGAGGTTATAATGAGCTTGTTAAATGATTGCTTGGCCAGTGGCATTATAGGGGATAAAATTACATGAGAAATGTTCCATGAGGAACAAAAGGAAGCAAAAGCCTGTGAGGTATAGGCTGGACCATATTCAGGTTTAAGGAAGGAAGATACACCCATGACTGCAAATGTAGCCAGGAGATGTTGAATTACATGTTGGGCAGATTCACCATGCAGTGGTGAAGCACAAATAATACTAGAAAACGGGTCAACAGAAACATGAAGAAATGAAAAGGAAATCAAGAAACAGTGTGTGGCATGTTTACCAAGGTTCATTGCAGCAGAGGCCATGAGAGTTGACAGCATCACAGGGAAAAGGGTGAGGTATGGCAGCACAATGGAAACCAGTGGAAATAAAAGCTTTAGCTTCAGAAGGTACAATGTCAAACAATTTATGCAAGGAACAAGTGTATTGGTGAAAAACGACAAGGCTTTGTTTAGTGTTATCAAAAAGAGGATAGACTATAGAGTAAACCCAAGGCCAGACTGAACTGTATAGAGAGAACCTTCCTCAAAAAGGCCAAAGGAGTGGGGGGGGGCTGTAGAGTATATGCAATCCTTGATCAGAAATCGCATTACCTTTTAAAAAGCCAGGTAGGGCTTAATGACCACATTTATGTAAAGGAAAAAGTGCAGCATTGTGAGGGCAAATAATTTGTACATGTAAAAAGAAGATACTAAGTGTGAGCCCATGGCCACAGGAGAGATAAAAACAAGATAAGTGAGATAAAAACAGAAGGAATAAAACAGAAGAAAACTAGCTCAATTCTTACACTCCACGCTCCCCGTGCTGGAACACCTGTTCACCTCCAGCACTCCATGCCCTCAGGACATTTCCCAGATGTTCTGTGCACCTTGAGCACTCCTGTATGGGCACTTTTGCTTTCTGCTTTACTGGTATGAACAATCAGAAGCTCAGAAACTTTCAGGACCTGCTTGCAAACCAACTGGACAAACACGCAACTGATATGTGGACAGACTGACAAACATAAAGTCAGAGCACGCTTGAGCATATCCTTAATCAAGCCAAATTATAATACTTTCTTAAAAATTTAGAATTTACAGCTACAAATCAACCAGTTGGATTTGTAATACACCAACTAGCAGAGATCTGGCATAAAAGGATCCAAGGCTTGATTCAGGGAGAGGTGAAATGGTGGAATTATGTTGTGTAGCCTGTCCTGTGGTGACAACTCATTCCATGTAGGGCAAACACAATAAGCAGAAATCCACACAAGGCCTTGGCAATAACATAGAAGTATCCTATCTTACCCAGTTCAGCAGGGGCACCAGACCCTTGAGTCTGGAGGTGTTTTGTATGATACAAAAGGCTTTGTCAGAGATATAGCCTGGTAAAAACATATTTGAATTAGGGAAGAAGAAAACCTTGTTGGCAAAGAGAAGTCACTTACAGTAAATAGCACCATGGACAGAATAGTAAAAATTTGTGCAGGAAGTGCATTTTTCTCCTTTAATTATTTTAAGAGAAGAGATTTCAGTGAATAATGAGCTTCTTCAATGATAGTGTGGCCACTGGGATTATAGGGGATACAATTTACATAACAAATTTGCCATATGGAACAAAAGGAAGCAAAAGCCTGTGAGGTATAGGCTGGATCATTGTCAGTTTAAAAAAGGAAGATACACCCTTGACTGCTAATGCAGCCAGGAGATGTTGAATTACATGTTGGGCAGATTCACCATGCAGTTGTGAAGCACAAATAAAAACAGAAAATGTATCAAGAAAAACTTGAAGAAATGAAAAAGTTTTAAGGAGGAACACTGTGTAGCATGTTACCATAAGTCACTGGAGCAGAGGCCATTAGAGTTGACAGCATCACAGGGAAAAGGGGGAGGCATGGCAGCACAATGGAAACCAGTGGAAATAGAAGCTCTAGTTGCAGAAGATGGAATGTGAAACAATTTGTGGAAAGAACAAACTGATTGGTGAAAAAAGGTGGGGCTCTCTTTATTGTTATCAAATGAGGATAGACTACAAATTTATCTCAAGATCAGGCTGAAATGCTTATAAAGACACTGTTGAAAAGACCTTGCCCAAAAAAAGAGAGAATAGAATATTCAGTGCTTGATCAGTAATAGCATTATCATATCAAACAACAGGTAGGGCTTAATGACTACATATATGTAAAAAAAAAGAGTGGCATGTTAAAGGCAAAGAGGAGCCTGTGAGATGTAAAAAAGAGACAATAAGTGTGAGTCTATTGCTACAGGAGAGACAACAAGAGAAGAAGATAAGTGTGAGATAGTATTATGAGAGGCAGTAACTAAGTTAAGGACATGGGTTGAAAAAATTTGCAAAGGAAGGATAACACAGAGAGCTCACTGCATTGACAAGAGGTTTGTGGCAGTGAAAAAAGGTGTTTTCAATTATTACAAAAACATATGTTACAGCTTCATGATGGGGGGTTCCATCAGTGAAGACAGTGAGAGCACTATTTAAAGGGCTGCTAATGCAATAAGTTTGAAGAGAAAAGGGAAGTAGAGTAAATAGAGACAAACAATGATCCTGGGGCATATCAAAAGAAACGGAACCAACATAGACAGCAAAGCCACTTGCAGATTTTTTTTTTTTTTGGTCCCAGGGATCAAACTCATGACTGTGCACTTGTAAGGCAGGCACTCATGCCACTGAGCTAAATTCCCAGACATGAGTCTTGCAGAGGGAACAGCAGAGGACAGCAAAAAGGAAAAGTTAGCCTTGGTAAGTGGTAAGACAGTATTGATTAAATCAATTCCAAGGACTATAGGTGTTCCAGTACATCCTCAAGTGATGAGAGGGAATAGCACTGACAATGGGAAATAAAGTATTGCCAGGTGAGTGGAGTAAAACAAAACCATCAGCTCCAGTGTGTAGCAATCCTGAAAAGAAAAGGTTGTCAATAGTTAAACAGAGGCCTCAGCATTCATCTCCCAGGGGAATAGCAGTAGCCACCACAGTGGAGCCAAGTGCTTGATTTCCATGAGTAACATCATAAGTTTTAGAGAAGACAAGGCAAGGCAATTAGCTGGGTTACAGATTCAAAAAAATTAGTTGAATGTGTAAGAGAGATCACAACTGAAGCAACAATATGCCCGTATAACCAGCATTACTGAGGCCAAGGATAACAAAAT